TTAACAAAAATCATATATATTTATTCAAGCTTTCAACAGGTTACACTTATCATTGTCAGGAATAACAATACAAAAAAAACCTCTGTTTGTATACATTCAATATAAAATAAGAGAACAAACAGTTAATCTGTTTGTTCTCTTATTTTATATTGAATGTATACAAACAGAGGTTTTTTTTTCTTTTTTTGTATTGTTATTCCTGGCAATGACAGGTGTAACCTGTTGAAAGCTTAAATAAATATATATGATTTTTGTTAAAAATCAAAATTATATTCTTCGTAGCAGTCTTATAATCATTATTCGTTTTTATTTTATTGATTTTAAAACATCCGAAAGAATAAAACTTTATTTAAACAATATTTTTTTTTTACCACAAGCATATTAAGCCATAGGTTTAGTGCTCATGCTGTTTTTAAAAAATAGGCTATTTAAGCTAGTCATCAAGATAATTTTATTGAAAAACTTGAGGTTTTGAAATATTCTTTATTAAATTCTATTGTATTAAAAATTTCTGCTTCATTTACATGCGAAATAACAAGTTACATTTCCTTGACAACGCGTTTTTAATATTTATCAGAGTCGAATAAAGTAGTATATGCCATTATTGAACCGACAAGGCGTTATAATCCTGTATGATATGTTGAGTTATTATGGATACAGTATTATACAATCTGAGTTAAATGAAAGTTTCGTTTTACTTTGTAATTTAATATTTTTGTTTCAGATTTTTTTCTGTGTTATTGGAAATGAATCGATCTCCTAGAAGAAAAACACAACCAAAAAAATTTTCACCTACACAATCTTCAATATGTTCTCCTCAAAATTATTTATTACGATTCGAAGATAATGGTGAATTGATTGTGGCAAAACGATCTAGTATCAGATCAATTATCGAGGATAAAGCAATTGTTGGAGTAGGTACAAAACGTCGTACAGCAATAGTCGAAGCTAAAGGTAAGATTGGCACTTCGAGTTTGTAAGTTAGTCGATGTCTTTTGTTTTATCGGTAACTCTTCATTAGTTTGAAGACATATTACACGTTCTAGTGACTTGGATAACACCTGTACACCCTTCATAATATAGATAATGGATTTGAAAGTCAACACCGGTTTCGCATTAGATTACGCATTATTTTTCTATAGAGATCAAGTAGGATAGATAAATAAGATAAATGAATAAGTTTGTCACTATCAGATAAGTAAGTTTAAGATCTCCAGACGGTGAATGTCATCTAATAACTGTGCAATTACAGCACTCATAATATGACTATTGAGTTGCCGAAATTTAACTGAGTACAATATCGTTATACTTTGAAAGATTAATAGTATAACATAATGTCTAGTACGCGAAAATCTACATAACAACAATAATTCAAATAATTTGAAACCCAATCTATTAGTCTAGGTATAGACACTTATATTTATATTTATTCGTAAACATACGCAAAGCTACATATCCTTTAGCGTAAATGTATTTATTTATGTAACTGCTTGGATAAAATCGTATATAAAACCTATTGTGTGTGCATACGACTGTATCTATATGCATATGGTTAAATATATGGAATGTTAATTGTACGTAAATGACACATTATAAAATAGATGTCTTCACTGTGAAAGCATTGAAAATTCTTCAGCATAAAGAAATATACTAGGTAATAATAAAACACTGAAGTAGATGTTTATTTATTTACATTCTTTATTTAAAGGCAAGGATCCGAGAAAGATAAATAATTCTTTAGAATATATGAATTCTATAGCCAAATCGGTTCGAAGAGTCGAATATTTGAATTTGATCCCGTTGCTTCAGATTTACCAAATTGATATTTCAGAAAATTAAGTCAATTTGATTTCTAAATTAAATTTTTCTATTAGCTCCACTATATTTTATGCTATTAGATTAAAGGTGATAATAAAGGGATAACCATGTTCAGCTTTTATTACAGGAAGTTATAGTCAATGTAATGCTATGTATGAACAAATGACATCACATGAATCTAACGTCACAAACGAACCAGAAGGTAAAATATTTTCAGATCTCTCATTTGACTGTGACGCAGACATTGTCTTTTTCTTTTTGCAATAATAAAATGTTTTGATTTAGATATTTTGGATCAACTAAATGAATCAGAGGAAGATGGCTCATTAAGTGACGACAACAATCAAAGTCAAATACAAATTACGTGTATTTTGTTTTGCTTATAAGCGAAGGTTAAGTATTACTTTTTTTTGTTTCTTCATTGTAGTACGCTTACCATTAACACAAAAAAGAAAGTTGTCTTCGTTAATAATCGATGATAGCGATGGTAAAAATGTACAACAGAATTTTTTTTTGCATTGAGTAGAACTGGGTCTTTTTACTACAAGATAAAGTCAAAACTGATAAAGCAGTTGTCTGCGCATCTCAATTAAGAACTAAATTTTGACAGAAGATTGTTTTTACCATCTTTTAGAAGAATCTGACGACAATTTACCTATATTGAAACAGGACTTATCAACAAGTCAAAGTGAGTAATGCTATCATAATCTTAGCTACGAAAACTTTTAAAAACGAACCTGTCTTCTTAGAACGTCGTCAACTTTCTGATGAATCGTCGTCAAACAAAAGTGACTTTTATCATTTGCTAATGTTCACCTATTCTGTAATAATTATGTTGCTTTCTAGATGATATTACATCCAACACAAGTTCTGAAAAATCTCTATCTTCCGAATGTAAGTGTCGCTGTCTGAGCTGAGAACGAAAAAAAATAGTTTCATTATATTTTTATTTTTTTTTGAGTCCTTGAAGCAGAATGCATATCTGCGATATAACAAGTAGCTATAATATCAACCAAGAATTCCTACAAAATTGTATCAAGTGTTTTTATCTATAGGCATAAGTTTTTATTTTCTTTTTATAAAAATATTTAAATGTAAAGATAAGTCAAAGAAAAAAATGTATTACTAACGAGGGAATATTTTCAACTGTCGAATCCCTTTTGAGTTCCGACTTTGTGCAAAAGATGGACCCCAATGAGGTATGAAAAACTCCAAAAGATTAAATGCTCTTAGATCTTCTGCCCAAACTTATAGGTATTTTACTGGAATTTTAGCCTATGGGATGGTATATACTAATAAATCGAATGACGGTATTTCGGCTTGAGATTTTGCTCATAGGCAGGTCAATTTATGAGTGGAATACCCTGAAAATTTCAGCTGAAAAGAACGTTTCATTGCCGAGATATTTAAGTCCCAAAAAACAGAAAATTCTAGCATCTTTTGTATTATATGAGTCATTTTTGGGACTTAAATATCTTGGGAAGGAAACGTTCTTTTCAGCTGAAATTTTCATGGTATTTCACTCATAAATGGGCCTGCCTATGGGCAAAATCTCAGATCGAAATACCATCATTCGGTTTATTAGTATATACTATGCCATAGGCTAAAATTCCAGTAAAATGCCTATAAGTTTGGACAGAAGGCCTAAGAGCATTTGATCTTTTGAGATTTTTTATACCTTACTGGGGTCCATCTTTTGCACAAAGTCCAAACTCAAAAGGGATTGAACAGTTGAAAATGTTCCCTCGTTAGAATATTTATAAAGCTTCTCTGATGTTGCTCAATGTACTGTATTTTTTCAAAATTGCCTATATTGAAAACATGACTTAACTTTCTAAAGATTAGTTTAATAAGGGTGTTGTTTATTTTCAGTGCATGTTTTATATCAAACAATCGACAGTATGACACATTCCATTGTACACAAATTTGAAAAAAAACTGGAAGCTTTTAGTAAAAAAATTGATCAACTACTTCCAAATTCAGTGCGTCTTTCAGAGACATCCAATCGTTTGTCAGACTCAATATTTTTTTTATATTTTAGGCTGATCAAGGCTTAAATTTATACAGAGAGAAGGACGAGGTTTTCTGTTCGACGGTTGTGAGTATTACTCAGTATTTATTTATTTTTCTTATTGCTTCTACGTTTCGTTGCAGATGTATGATGGTAAAGATCTATTAACAACACGTGCTCGAGATATATACGATTTCGCTCGACAAACTTTACGAATATTATTTACACCAAAAGAATTGAACGAATGTATTTTACCACCAGGGTGTGGGTGTGGGTGTGGGTGTGG